AAAATTAAAAGTATAATTCATATATTTTTAATATTAATTATTATAAAAAAATAACAAAAATTGATATTAAATTTTCACTAATACTATATATGTTGTTTTAATTAAATAAAAATAAAAATTTATTTTTTAATAATAACTAATACTACATTAAAAAGAACCTGGTCTTCCGGGTCAATGGCTTTGGCTACTCTTGTAAGGTTCATGTCCCCCTTCCCAGGGCAACGGTTCGAGCCGGCCCCATAACATAATGTTCAAAAAAAAAAAACACTACATTAAAAAACCTTTAAAAAAATATTAAAAAAACTAGTGTGAGATTCATTCATAAAAATTAAAATAGCTAAAAGAGAAATTAATTGTGAGGTAAATTCATCGCGTAGTGAGGGGGCTTGGGACAACTTGGCATCAAAGAAAAATAAACTTGCCACAGAATTGAGTAAGAGGTGGGCCCAAAAGAAGTCTGAACAGGAGAGAGTGGGGCCCATCCCAGGTTATAGACTTACAGACGCGAAAAAGCCATGTGAGTGTGGGAGATCGTGAAAAAAAAAAAAAAAAACGAAGTTGCAGGCTTGCACCATTGCATCACCGTGGAAGAATTCGCTTGGCCGATTCACCGGGTCTACCGGGTGGGACGGGTTGGATGGTTCTTTTGGGTTTGGACGGTCCAACCATTTAAATGGGCTTGGGTCTCCATCCAACCCGTTTTATCTACCGGTTGATGGTTCAACTGATTGAATCGATCGGTCCAATCCGGTTCTTAAAACACTGCATTTCATGTCATGTCGAGGGCTGGCCTGGTTGAACTAAAAGGCTTAATATCACGAAAAATTAGGGGTGACACTGAGTAGGCAAAAATTCATAGATTGCCTTTAAATTTTTTGAGTGTGTGGCATTTTATCTTTGACACTATAATATATTATTTTATACCCTTTTATATTCGAGTTTATGATAATAAGATAATATTTAATGTTGAGAGGCCACATGCAGCACATGCGCTGTTAATTTTTGTCATACATGTACAGATTAACGACACGTGAGCCTTTTTTTACACATTGACAGTCCAACTTGGACTGCTCATTAGCAGGAAAATATATCGTCAAACAAGTTAATTGTGGGCCTTACTCTCTGACTTATGAGTTTAAAAAAAAAAAAAGAAAGTCTGATGAGATACAGACAAATTATCCGACTTTTATCATTTTGATCGAGAAAGAAGATATTCTTGAAGAACCCCACCAAAAGAAAGAACTTTACTCGTCAAACCAACCAAAAAAATCTAGGTTAAAGTTATTAAAACATACGAGACCACAACACACGAACGACTTAGACAGTGTTCTTAGTTTGATTGTCAAATATGTTTACTTATTCTAAGATATTCTTGTTTACTTTTGAGGTGGTATTGTTAATGGGTGTGATAGATTTGAGTTGGATTAACTATTTAATTAAGTTAATGGTTTAATTAAAATTAAAATACTTTAAATATTGTAAAATACCGTCTATGATTATGGTTCTGCGAGTAAAAGACGTTTTAGGGATTCAGTGATTTACTAAATAATCAAAGAAAGCTATAAGTTTTGTTTCCAATTTTGCTTTTCATGTAAATTACTTTAGAATCCAATTTCATCC